TGCCTGGGAGCTGCTCCTTCCCAGGTCTTCATGGAAACGTCCTCTTGGGAAAGAGGCTGTGGCAACAGTCTTTCAGAGCTGCCTGTGAAGACGGACTGCGGGGGAGAGCGTGGGCAGGATTAATAGCCACTTATTCGTACAGGGACATGAGTGAAACCAGGGACTTGCAAATCTCCGCTAGGGTGGTGGTACCCTGATTATCCACTTGTTTAGGACATTGTTTCAAACCTTCCATTCATCTCAGTTGTACCGAGTTCAGAGGTCTCATGGAATTTGATTTATGATGCAGATACGTAGTGAACAACAGGGAGTCTTGGAGTTTACGTGCAGTCTGATCATGTGTGTGCAGCTTTAGAAACTTGTACCATTCGGAGGCACCTTGTATACTGTGGGATTACATATCAATAAGACTGCCTTTTGAGTTTTTGATAGTAAAGTCACTGAAACAGGCTAACAGCTAGCCTGGTAGCTCCAGTCGTCTTCAGAATCCTGAAAGCGGAATATTCTTAAAAGTAATCCCAATGGCTTCTGAGGGTAGAATTATAGCGAAAGCTCTGTTGTCATAAATGGAGGGATTCAACATGTATATGTGTGTTTTAACAAAGCACCGTATAGCCTGTTTCGTATGATATATTTATATTCCCCAGCTCTTTATTTCTAGATATAATCACGTAATCTTCTGAGGTAGTTTAAAATACATCCAATTCAAAAGAGCTAAAAATTTATACTTCCAAAATTCCTCTTTTTTTTGGCAAGTAAGCCTTTAACCTTTGGTCACGCAGGACCACTGTTTAACATCTGTGAAGTGCTGCTGGATCAATGATCAACTCACGCCTGTGTGATACAGGAGGAGCCTTGACAATATTCCTACACCGCTCTCTAGAGATCAATGATTGCTGAGATCAGAGGATTTATTTGGCAATTTCAGCCGTTTATGCTGAAAATGCTTCAGTATAATCTCTTGGGGAGTGGGTGACATAATTTAAAACTTTATTAGCCCTTTGAGTGGAGATGCATGTTCATTTCGCTTTAATAGACTGCAGACAACATACACACGTTGCGTGCAGAAATCGTCATGGGAACAGCAGGCAGAGGCAGCAGAGTGCGAGTCTTCAATTTCCGCTGATGTTGCTCTGCTGGTTTCTAATAAGCAGCCAGTCTTCTCAGGTGAGCTGGCTGAGAGTGGGGAGTTTAACCCTTCATGGGCTGAAGTGAAGCAGCATTTGCACACAGTCTGTCTCTTAGAAAAGTTCAAAAGCATTTCTCAGCTTCACCGTTGTCTCCCACAGTTGTCATTCATTACAGTGTTTGAGAAAATGGCATTTGTATGTTATGCATGAGCGATAATGCAAAGGTGTCCTGTATATAGAAATAAACAAGTTGATCACTTACATGTTGATAACTTGATTACATACAAGAAACAGTATGTTCGCACTTATTAGAAAGAATACAGGCCTGCACACTTGTAAAATATGGTTTTAGTTCTGACTGAACAAAATGTGTGCTGATTAAATATTTTTGTTATATTCCTCCATTTTAAATGTCATGAAAATATAAAACAGCAGAGATGTTAGCTCAAGGTCGCTTACGTGCCTGTGGTATTTTCCTCTGTGGTGTTTACTTGTATATCTCTGTCCCAGCGGCATTAACTCCAGTCTGACTGGAACACTGTGGGCTTTCTGTACAGTGCTGTGTTCTCCACAGACACGCTAACTGTCAGTGTATCTGGAGGGCTAAGTGTTTCTAATCAAATAATCGGAGTGTGTCTGAGGTTGCGCTGATTTCTCGAAGCTGCATGGGAAACTGTATACTGTATGTGAGGCATAACCCACAGAAACTCCCGTGATTCATATGGGAGATACCATGCCCTGGGTGATGATTCACACCCAGACTTCAGTCCCCAAGGGTGGGGCAGCATGACCTCCTACACTGGAGACCCTGACTCATCCAGATACATTATGAACCTGGAATGGGGCATCAGACTTCCTTTGGTGAAAGGATTCCTGGGGCTACCAGAGGCACGGGCATTTCTTCAGTGGAGGAAAAAACGGGGGCTTTCATGACACAGGTCTGACCTCTCGGCACCATCGGCTTAATGATTAATAATAATAATTGCTTACACTTATATAGCGCTTTCTGGACACTCCACTCAAAGTACTTTACAGGTAGTGGGGACTCCCCTCCACCACCACCAGTGTGCAGCCCCACCTGGATGATGTGATGGCAGCCATAGTGCACCAGTATGCTCTCAGTGGGGAGGAGAGCAGAGTGATGAAGCCAATTCAAGATGGGGATTATTAAGAGGCCATGATTGGGAAGGGCCAATGGGAAGTTTGGCCAGGATGATTAATGAACGGGATGTCAGTGAGCTCTGTAGTGGTTTAGATAAGGATGGATTTTTATCCTTCTTTAAAAAGAAGTTTCTGAAAGCAGTAGCTTTATGTGGGTTTTTTTCCTAAAATAAACTTCTTGATGCAATTCGCTGTTTGCACAAACCTATCCAGATATGGTTTTCTAGCTAATGTCAGCTCCAGCTTTTGACAGACATGGTTTATGTTTTTATAAGGCTAAAATTACTTAGATGTGTGCTGTAATTGAAGTGTGGCATAACATTATGTAAACCTGCTCTTGACTAGTAAGAAATGTAGTTTTCATTGGAGATTGCATTACAAATGAAACTTTTTCAACAGGCTGGTATAAGAATTGCAGGGCGATGGAACATCAAGCTGAGAAGCAAAGCTTAGAGTGCTTGAGTGCTCTGCTCTTTTAATCACATTTATCTCATTCTTTGTTAGCTGGTGATTGTGGTCAAAAGTGTTGCACCACAGTGATATGTATTGTATGTTTATATATATAATATATATATATAAAAATAGCCCTGTGAGATGTTTTAGTTTCCTCTTAATGCTAATAAGACTTTGTTTCAGCTTCTTAATCTCATCTTTTTCTTTCGCTAGCTGCTGAAATCCTTCCTCTCTTTGAGAGCTCATTATATTTAGGGGACATAGCAGGGTTTCTGTGTATTTAAATAAAATGCAAAGTCCTTCTCCCCAGGAGCATCTGTGGCATACAAGAATGGAATTTCATCAAATATTAAATATATTTTTCATGGCTCCAAACATACCTTCATGTCACGCTGGTAGCTAATTGTCATTCAGGAGTGCAGACCTTGCAGGCTGTCTGCCAGGATCTGTCCGAAAACATCTGCTTCGGGTATTTGCCTGTCCCCCCAGGCCCAATCAACTAACAAACTGTGCTAGTGAGATTGTCAAATTTGTGGAGCACGTTTCTTGAGATTTACGTCCGAATGACTTCTGCCTTCTGTGAGTGTTGGGTAGATTTCCTTAGACTTTGGTTGTGCTTGATTTTACTATATCATATCCACATATATAAACCAATGTGTAAAGCTTGGATTAAAATACTGCAGTACATTCCCGAAACCTCCTGATTCACTAGTGAATTTAAAACTCACTTAGAGGGATCTTAGGAGATTGCTGGCCTTGGCATCATCAGTAAAAATGCTTAGTGGGCTGTTGTGCAGCAAGCATGCAACAGGTTCTTATTTTTGTATGTACCTTGGTTCAACGTTTAAAAAGAAGCAAAACTTAACTTTCCTTTATGATACAAGTACTCATTGTCCAAGGACTGTTAGCCTCATTTATCATTTACTGACCAAAACACTTGAAGTGAGCTTGGAAACAGTTCAGTGAAGCCATTGAACTGAAGCCTTAGGCGCGTTTCTGAAGAGGCTTTCTACCTTAGTTAAAAGTCACTGTAACTAAAGGCTCCTAACACTGGCAGGCACAGTAAATCCTTGATAATGTATAGCTTTCAGTTGTTGGCAGTGAAGTGTAAGGAGGAGGTAAGGGCGGTCAAAATGCCTCTTATCTACTGGTAGCTCTGAAGTCAGTCGGTAAACCTGGAATCTGACCTGACTTCTTTTTTTGTTTTTTTTTAGTGATTTGTATACTTTTTGTAACATTACATGGCTCAACAACTTCCCCTTTGTGCCCCTTTTGGAGATCCTGATGTGTTAGTCATACTTGGAACAGGAAAAGCCATTAACATTACTGGAAATCCACAGAGAAAGAGCTTGCTCCCATTTCACACCATTGAGGGATCATTGTATACTTGTTAGGCTCATAATCTAGACCATAAATGTTATTATATTGACAGTTCATGGGGCTGTACAGAATATCAGTACAGTGTTTTGTGCTTTTTAAACAGCATCTATGAAGGATAACATGAAGCAGTCTGAACAGACAACTTCATAGAGTGCAGTATGTAGATGAAATATTTAAAGAACGGTCTTATTTAGTGAGTTTTTTCAATCTCTGAATGCAGGCTTATGTTTAATTCAGGGCACCATTAAGTTTGTCGTGTGGCAGCACAAATATGATTTATGACAGCAGATCTGTTTGCCCTGCACAAAGGGCAAGACTGCTTTGTTTTAAAGAGACTCTATTTCCCGTCCCACTGCGGTGACCCACATCAGGAACATGGATATTGTTTCCTTGTGAGTGTCAGGGGCACCTTCTCAGCTGGATTGCCGGAGGTCGTAGCCGTGTCAGGAATCGCACAGAGACGGCTCTTCCCCCTCGTCAGTGTCATTTTTTTGTTTGTTTGGCTGTTGAATCCAGGTTCCTCTAAAGAACTTTGATTACTCTGGTTTTCTAAAAACGCTTGCTTAGGAGTTTAAGTCAGTAAGACTAAGCTTCTTGAAGTTCAGTTATAAATCCAGGTCTTGATTATCGTGCTGCATCATTGTTTTTGAGGTTTTGTGATTTCCGATCTGGTGGGTGGTTTGACGTTTTGGTTTAATCCAAGAATGTTAATGTAACTGAAGCAGCAAATACTCTTCGAAGTTCATTAAGAACTAAACTTTGTGGGCGTGTGGTTAATTGTTCAGCTGCTGTGAATATCGTTTGTTAGGTGTTAACCCTGTGAACTTCGGAGGGGAAAGGCGTGATATTAAACGGGGAATTGTCCTCTGTTCGCAGGCGGGGAGCGATGGGGAGAGTATTGGGAACTGCCCCTTCTCTCAGAGGCTCTTCATGATTCTGTGGCTGAAAGGAGTGGTGTTCAACGTCACGACCGTCGACCTGAAGAGGTGAGGCTTCTGTCGTCGTCTCGGCTTCTTATTCAGCAGGGATTTCACCCCCTGGTCTGAGCACGGAAGCCACCTTGTCGACACATGTTGGGGTTAAATCATGTTTGAAGAGGCAGTATATGGGTCTGAACCTTCCAGCTCTCCCCTTCTTCAATGTGCTGTAATGTCACTGTTAGGGCTTTGCCAGTAGGCCGAGTGGTTCGAGCTTCTCGTGGCCCAGTCTGATGGCCTCTTTCCTAGAGAGGAATGCAGCTGCCGGCCCTCTCCTCCTCCTCCTCTGTACTCATGCTGCTGAAGTCATGCCAAGGCTGTGAGGTCATTTCCTGCCATTGTAGCAGCAAGCTGGCTGCTGATTTTAGAACATTACCGTTTGTGTTGCTCAACACGGTCTTGGTTGAGGTTTATGTCGTAGTTCTGCTCTCCTGCTGAGTTGTTTTAAAACATAAATTGGATACATTTAGCATTAGAATGTTTCATCTTGACATTTTCGCTGTGCTTTTTCATCTAGCAAAAAATCTGCAAGGGAATATAGGGACCAAATCCACCTGCCAGGAATATACTGTTAAATCACTCATTGTAGGAATTTTTATACCATCAACTTAACTCCATTTAACTAAATGTTCTACTCTCTTGGTGATACACAATGTAATATTCACTTGGTCCCAGTATATAGAATATATTCTTCAATGTGCTTTTAACCTTGCTTTTTAAATTGTTGATATCTGATGCAATTTTATTATCAAAGTGAAAATTTAAAGCAGTTTGGCTGCTTTTCTGGTTAGAAACTGTGAAAAGGAAGTTTGTGCTTGGCTGTTGAGCTTTTAATTGTAACCTGTAATGGCTAAACAGTTTAATGAAAACAGAACACCTAAAGAACAGAGAGAACGTTTTTGAAACAAAGCAGTTTATTTTGAAATTCATAGAACTTGTTGATCCAGCTAAATCTATTGTAAACATTGACTGGAAATTCTAGCTGTTGAAAAGCTTAGCAGTGCTGTCCAGACTAGATTTCACTGGAAATGTCTTGCCTAACGTTTGCATTGTTCTGTGCGAAATTGGCCTGTGCTGTCCTGTTGAATAGTGGCTCTGAGATGTCTGTTGATCAGCATCCAACGCTTAGCTCACAAACTTCTGGCCTCGGTCAGGGTGGTACAATGGAGTGTATCGTCCTGCTGTGAGTTCACGGACCACAACTAGGATTTCTCAGTCTGCTCCTGGCATGTGTGTGATCGCACTGGGTTCACCTCAGGAATACAATGACATGCATGTCCATTATTTGCATTTTAGAGTTTGATAAGTAGTATATATTTGTTTTGCCTCATTGATCGCCGAATGTGCTTTCAGAATATCCCACATTTCAAAGTAGATAACTTGCATTTGACTTGTGTTCTTGCTTGCAAAGAGCTCATTGCCAAATGGAGAAAGACAAAATGGTCTCTGCTCTGCTTATCAGTTTATGAGCCTCTTAAGAGGTGGTTTCTTGGAAAATCCCACTCCAGGTCATAAACAATCTTGCCCTCGACGTTTGTCAGTGAGTTCCATGCTCTCCAATGATGCGTGTGGTTGTGCGGTGTTGCAGGAAACCAGCAGACCTGCAGAACCTGGCCCCTGGCACCCACCCGCCCTTCATCACCTTCAACGGAGAGGTGAAGACCGACGTCAACAAGATCGAGGAGTTCCTGGAGGACGTGCTGAGCCCCCCCAGGTGAGCCTCCCTGGAGGAGCCCTTTCAACATCTGCATACCTTCCAGTGCCAAATAAATCATCACACCACTTATTGAAGATCAGGACTCTGTTCTGCGAAAATCCTTCTTTCAGAAATGTTACCTGTGCGCTAGCACAGTACTCGGGAGCTTTGGGGAACGCCTTCAAGCACTCAGTACTAAGATACAGGAATCTTGCACATCTTATGTGCTTTTGAACAGTGTAAATGTACCTAGGTTACGTTATACACATTGATATAATGTACTTGGGTGAATTTACAAAGAAGTGCAGCATTTTTAAAATGGAGAACAAGACTGACTTTATCAATGTTTGGAAGATATTTTTGCAAGAGGTTCTTTGGGTTGCTGACTGTTCTTTCTCGTACTGAAGGGTTTCATCACATGCTTAAAACCCACTGGCAGCTGCTGTGTCCTTCCTTAGTATGATTCTTCAGACTTGAGGTGTTCTGTATGGAAAGATGCTGATGTGTGAATCTGGTGTTAGGTACATGAAGCTGGCCGCTCGACACCCAGAATCCAACACTGCTGGAATGGACATCTTCGCCAAGTTCTCCGCTTACATCAAGAACTCCAGACCAGATGCCAATGAAGGTGAGCTTCTCTGCACCACCACCACCACCATGAACCACCATGAACACTGATGAAAACTGGCAGGACACAGCCGCATAGAGGAAAAGTAGACCTAAGAGTTCATTGCATTTGCAAGCAACTTTCCAGATCCCCAGTAATACAGCAACAAAGCAGTGGAATCCTTTCATACTGCTTAAGCAACACCATTGCAAATATACAGCTTTGGAAATAGGCGTTCTTTATTTTGCGTGAAATAATTGGATTAAAGGTGGACAAATAATTCTAAGGCCTGTTCGGAATTAAAACTGTAAAAAGCTGACAGGTTTTTAATGAGTTTTTCCTTTAACGTCATGAATTCTGTGTAGTTCCATCAAGTGACATTTAGGAAGAGGCTAGTAGAATTCCAGAGAGAGCAACATGGGGAAACATCGCTTGCACAGAAAATATCACAGGGCCACATGTTTAACAAAAGTTTCCTTGTAAGAAAGCGCTCTGTCAAAGAAACGTGCTACTCCCATGAAAAGCTGGTTTCTGCCCTAGGAAGACATTTATGGAAATGCCTTCCCAGTTTTTCAAATCTGATTTTTTTTTTCATTTTAAGCACACTAGCCAGTAAACCAGAAAGCGGACAGTGAATGTTTTATCCATTTATTCTGTGGCAATTCTCAACAGTTTGGAGCAGGGCACAGTGTTTTTAATATCCGCAACAGATGGGAATACTGTAACTTTTTTTGCAAAGCCTGTGGGGTTTTGGTATTGATTATGTGGCTAAGCTCTAGGCATGTTTGAAATGAGAACTTTATTGCTGAAGAAAGCAAGGGATGAAACACTACGAACCTTGTAAGTCTCAGATTGAATTACTCACTGTTGGTAGAGAATTCCAGTTGCTTAGCAACCCCCAGAGGCTTATTAGACCTGCTGGTTTTGAGAGAACAGTGTTCAGCTTTGGCCTGTCTTTGTATTGTTTCATCTGTTGACATTGTGATCCTATGGTACCCTCACATTTTATTTGAAGCTTTGCATTAAAAGAGGATACAGCCACTGATCTAAAGGAATAAACATTAAAAAAGCACATTGTAGTAAACGATCAAAGTGGCAGATCATTTTTCAAAACCACAAATCCTTTTTTGCTTCCCTGGAATCAGCCCAGAGAAGAGCTACCAGCCAGATACATTTCTGGTCTTAAAGGAATGTGCTGCTCTGGAACTTTTCGGTTTTTATCGCAGAGCAAACATGTTTTAAAAATCCTTGAAGGATTCAAGTATTCATGAAAGGCCTTTTTCTAGGCAAAAGGTTGTAGGAGTCTGGAACAAGCTACCTCGTTTTATTGTTGACAGAAGAGCATCAGTTTCAAGATATGGCTGAATTAGATCCTCAGCTCAATTAGCTAATTATTTGGTAGTAAATAAACTTGATAGAATAAATGGCCTCACATCAAGTTTTTTCTCAGTTTATAATGTATTTTTCACATACTGCCAAGTGAACCCATTTAATACGAATATTTGTGAATAATAGGGATATTATTTTAACCACCACTAATTTGAATTGACTCACTGAGCTGTTTCATGTACTCCCTGTAGTCATTTACTCCCATTTTATCTCTATATGTGAACACAGTACATCAACGTAAAACACCACACTACTACCCTGCTACTGTAAGTGAAGTGTCAAATGGAATCAAATCTTTCCTGCTGCCTTCCAGCACTTCCAAAAGACTCCACTGGAATAGCATCTCTCCCATGGTATGTAAGCACTTGGGCGGTGCATTCCAGGGAGTGATAAAGGCGGAATCCTGGCTGACAGTGTCACAGGGTGAGCCTTGAGCCTTAAGCACATGAAGTCCTGTCACGGTGTTCACTCACAATGAACATTTTGAAGCATGGAGTTTTGTAATAAAACGGTGTGTGTTTTGCTGCTTTGGTTTAAGATGGGGTTTTCTTCTGTAGGATTTTATGAAGCTAAATTGTAAATTGACGCTTTTCTAGAAGGCGCTGAACCAAAGCATTAACTGGATTTTTGAATAATAGGTGGCATGAATTTCAATAAAAGAGCTCTTATTGAAGGGAGGTAGAAATATACTTTGCAAAGGTTGTATCTGACTTCAAGAGGATTCTGTAAGAGTAGTAGTTCAGGTGGGGAGCTGCGTCAGCATGCGTAGGCTGCAAAGGAACAAGTAATAGGTTTATTCCATGCTGAAAAAAAGAAGAAAGAGAACACAACGTTTCGGCCGTGGGGGCTTCTTCAGGTGTGAGGAGGGGTGGGCACACCTGAAGAAGGCTCCACGGCTGAAATGTCGTGTTCTCTTTCTAATTTTTTTCAGCATGGAATAAACCTATTACTTGTTCTTCTGTAAGAGCAGCCAATCTGCCAGCATGTCATTGAGTGTTGGAATGATTGCAGGAGGATCATGCAAGCTCCACACAGCCTGACACCGGCGGAGACAGTAATGCTGACCGCCATGAGCCTGTTCATTTTAACTGTGGCTAGTGTCTCTGTGTCCAGCAAAACTAGTTTTGGGTGTTAAAGGTTTACATTCAAAAAGAGAGATTATCATAGGAAAGCTATTAACTAACTTTTACAAAAGGTCTGACTCGACATTGGATAATTTTTCTCTTGTCAGGACTGAACACTGCTTAAAACTAAATTGACTCCATATTACTCCGTGTGCAAAGTTTATTCAGCTGTGGTTAGAGCTGTATTCCACATCAATACTTCATGCCATTGGAGGCTTCCTGTCTGTGATGCGTTTCCAGTATACTGCACTGCCCTCTTGTGGCTGACCAGTCCTTTTTTTTTTACCCTGTTTTTTTCCCTAGCTGTCTTTCCAACATCTAGTTGGTGTGTTTTTGGTCCAGTGTTCCCCTGGAAAATGTTAAATCTCAGGGAGTCTTTGGCTCCTGGTTGTCCTGGTTGAAAGTGCTCATGTTAATTAACTGTGGCTTTGAATGGTGTGTCTTAATTGAGTAGCTCTGTGGCTATATCTTAATATATATGGCATCTACATATACATTTCTGTGTTTAACTGTGTAGTATAGGATATACAGTGTATAGTAAAGGCCAGCAAGCGTATTTGCCATGATATGCAGTCGGCTTGAACAAAGCCGTGCCGGTGTAGAAGACTAGCGAAGGGGCAGTACTGACCACCTGTCCTGTCCTCAGGCCTGGAGAGGGGCCTGCTGAAGACCCTGCAGAAGCTGGACGAGTACCTGACCTCGCCCTTGCCCGACGAGATCGACCACAACAGCATGGAGGACGTGAAGGCGTCGAGCCGCAGGTTCCTGGACGGGGACGAGATGACGCTGGCGGACTGCAACCTGCTTCCCAAGCTGCACATCGTCAAGGTAGCGCCGCCGGCCCGGCCTCCCCATCTGGCAGAGTCCGGTCAGCTTCTTGATCAATCCCGTCTTTGAACTGTATTTCTGGGAGAAAACCTGCCAACCTTACAGGATGCCTGCACAAGCAGCAATTCATTGTCATCTTGCTGAACCGTCCCTCAGGTTGCTTGCAGGGGTGTTCCTGCATTTAATTACGGATGTTAAAGCATTTTGAGAATTGAGGGTTTCATCCAGCATGGAAAGAACGTTATGTTTCAGGTTTAATTTGATTCCGGCTAAGTACAATACACGGGGATCCTCAGGTACTTGACAATTGCTGATTTTTTAACAAAATTCCTGTCTGACATCTCGCCTCATAAAATGATTTTTTTGATTCACGCAACATCCGTACCAAAAAAAAAAGGCAAGACCCATCACAACTCTGATAACTCAGTACATGAATGTGTGTATTGAAAAGTTACGGAGTTGGGTTGCTAACCATTTAATTCACTGGATGTCCTATATTTTTCGTCTTGAAGGTGGTGACGAAGAAATACCGCGGTTTTGAAATCCCCAAGGACATGACGGGCATTTGGAAGTACCTGAGCAACGCCTACACCCGCGAGGAGTTCACCAACACCTGCCCGAGCGACAAGGAGATCGAGATCGCCTACGCGGACGTGGCCAAGAGGCTCACCAAGTAATCAGGCCTGGAGCCCTCCTCTAACCTCAGCACTGGGACTGCTCATGGAGAGAACGCGTCGCATTTATTCAACAGTGTGCGTCTACTCATTTAGAAGCCGTGTCCAAAAAAAAAAAATGAACAAAAAGCTGCATGATTTTTTTTTTTTCCATTTGCTGTTAAGTCAAAGTCGGAAGGTAACTCAGTTTGCAAGGGGAATGGTGAAGCAATATAAGAGCTGCCAGACGCTGAACCGTTTTCTTATTTCTGCAAGATGGTCCCCTGGCTTGAAAACGGGGATCATCTGCCTTCTCACAGCTTCAGCGACTTTAAAAAAACAAAACAAAAACAAAACGCAGGGATCAGGAGGAGGTTGATTTTGGGGAGCTTTCTTTTAGGGATTTTCAAATGTTGCTTTGTGTTTTTTCTCGATTTCTGTAAATGGCACGTAAGATGAAGAAGTGTAAGTGAAATCTGCTCTATCACATTGGGGTTACAGGGACTGAAGGGGTGTTTGCCCCTGATATTAATGCTTTTGGGGAGATTTTAGTTGGATTACCAGTCACAGAATAAGAATTATCACAGTTATTATACTGGGGAAAATGTAGTAAAGTAGGTACAAGTTATTACAAGGATAGAGGGTCATGAAGATGTTTGACATAATTTGCATGGCTGCCAATAGGAATAGTGGAAAGATGTAAGACACTGATCTAAGTATCAAAGCGCAGATGAGTTTATAGCTCTTTCGTCTTGAACAGCAAGTGTTTTGTTTGACTGGCATGATGGGCTTGAGGGAATGTTTCTCAGGTCTCCACCGTTTTAAATTCTTAGTCCTTTATCTGGGTATTTTAAAACAAATTGGGCAAACTGTTTCTAAACAAAATCCAATTAATGAAAAACTTGGGTACACGGTGAGTTTAGATGAAAAATAGTTCTTTGTTAAAAAAAACAAGTAAGCTTAATTTTTCGTTGGCTTAGCATGCAGGATTCTGATAAATGCAAATGCAGTTGCAAACTTTTGCAAGAAAATGGCATGAAGAAGGTCCAGAAAAGTCAGCCGGGTCTAATAGATAGTTGATGTTCCAGTTTTGTGTGTTTAAAGATTGCAGTGGTTTTACAGTTAATCCTCTTCGGAATTGTTTTCCATTTCGAAAGTTTTTTTTTCTTTCTTTTTGGCATTTAATTAAAGAATATGAAGGAAACTGTTGAATCCTGTTGTGCTGGCAGTATTGTCTTGTATTCCTTCACCAAAAAAAAAGGCTCATTGCTGTGAGCAGTACAATATGATTTTCAGTCGGGTATATAGGTTTTCTTAACCTTTTCACATGCAAAAACTCTAACATGTATTTGAAAAGTTGACACTACAGATATTTAGGATATTGAATAGTAGTGCAATGATTTTTGAGATTTTTTGTGTACCAATTGATTTTACTACATCTAACATTGGGAGTGTCTTGAGAGCAGTGAATGTATACCCAACACCCGGAGAATATTTTTCTAGGACTTTTTTTTTAACCTTTTTAAGATGTGCGTTGTTTTGATCTGATTTTTAAAAGGAATTTGTAAATATCTTGAGTGTTCTCATTTTGAAATGTAATTTTTGTCCATGTAGTTAATTTGGAGGAAAATTCTCTCTTCCTGTTTATTTTATTGATAGTAGCACATGTTCAATCTAAACAATTTGAAGTCCATGTGGACAATTCTATAGCTCAAGATCCAGAATTAAGTTCTATTAATCATTGCATTACTATATGTGTGTCAATAACAAACCTGCTGGAGGTGGTGGTATTTAAAAAAAAAAGTGAAGTACAAACCAGCAGGGTGCTGAAATCGGCACAGCCTTTGGACATCAGTTAAAACAATTTTACATGTTAAAAACTGGTGCTGCTCATTCATTCTAACCTGGTTACAAAATCAAGTTTGCAACTACAAAATGTAGTTTTTTAAATGCTTTTTTCATAATACAATATTTATTGTAATTATACCCTGCTATTGCTTTAAACTGCTGTCACAGCTTAAGAAGCAATACACCGATACGAGACTTTCACTAACATCCATAGAATTGTTTGCATTAAAAATCATTTAAAGTGTCATTATTACAGATATAGTACTGTTGATTCCTGCATCTACCATTTTATTTCAGAAAGTATTTATGTAATCATTTAAAGGAACATTTTACCTCCATCAAAATTAAATGCAGTATGACATTAAGAATTGATGACAGGTAATGCTAATTGCTAATGCTGTATTGTCTTCATATAAGACGTTTTGCCGTAATGTGAAATAAGCAATTAAAGACTTCAGATTTCTTCAGCCCTCTATGGAATAAAGCAGTTTTTTTATTTTTTGCTATTTTTGCTTACTAACCTAACTATTTTTTTTACATATTTATATATACACTTTTTTCCTGGATATTGTTGGAGAAAATGGCTCTGCCAGTTGCAAGTTTTCTGCATTTACTGGTGTTTAGATCCTGTGTCGGTGTATTAACGACAAAAATCGCAGTAGTACAGTATCTTACCTGCTGCACTGTATATCAAACAACATGCATATATACAAGTAAATTGCTGGGAGCTTACAATAAAACTTATATTTTGACTAGCATTTCTGTGGTTTTATGTCATTGACCTTTTATGGTTTTGCTGGAAGTACCATGAAATCGTGCTTGTCATACTTGGATCCGTCTGTTCTGTATACAGAACAGTGTAGGACTAATTTAATTGTATTTAGGAAGGATTTAATTTCTCATTGTAGGTGGTGACCTGGGGGATTTTTTTTCCCATGCTTGACCCAGCTGATTTCAAACACTGTGATGTTGATTATAGTTTATAACAGGTCTTTAAACTTAATTAGACTTCTGCCCATTACAGTGCTCTTTTCAGAAAATTCTAACTTGTATTTACTGTGGATTGAGTGCACTATGTATTGCACAGTGACGCAGTGGTCAGCATTGCTGCCTCGCAGCACTGGGGCCCCGAGTTCAGTTCTGAACCTGGGGTTCTGTCTGCGTGGGGCTTGTATGTTTTTGCGAGGGTTTCTTCTGGTGCTCAAACTTCCTCCCACAGTTCCAGTGGGAGGTAGGTGCTGGTAGGTTAATTGGCCCTGGGAGAATTGGCCTGAATGTTTGCGCCGCTGTGTGCCCTCCGGAGGACTGGTGTCCCGCCCAGGGTGTACCTTGCCTTGCATCTGTGTCTTGCCAGGACAGGCTTTCACTCCCCTGCAACCTTGAATTGGATGAAGCAGAAAACGAATGGAAGTGTTGGTGTGCAGTTGCACAAAATCCCCACTGGGTGTCACTAAACACTTGCCAGTGAGTTGGAGACAGCCTTGTAATCTGCACCGTTGTGCTGTGAATGAAAAGGCAATTACAGCCTATGACAGTGCTGCTTCTCTTTACATGTGAAAAATAAGGAATTTAAAAATAATGAAAATGCGCATGAACAGCAGTGTCAGGTAGGTGAGGAGCTATTACATGCAGAATCTAATGTTGCATTTATGGTCACTTGGCATATTTGCACAGTTCCAGTTAAGCTGTTTTTCCTAAGGCAAAACACAATTTTTCCCCATACCCAGCATGAGAGATTAAAGACTTCTCCTCTGCAGCGCCAGTGGGCAAAATAACAGATCGCATGTCTTAAAATTATTCTGATTTTGTTTTTCCCGACAGCATTTTCAAATGCCCATGAAATCCCCACACCTAGAGAACCCTCATGAAACCTGGCAAGAGTGTCAAGTCATTTGTTGTCTTTTTAAATTTCTATAACTCCAATGAACATGCAAATGTAAAACTTGGCCCAGATTTTATACTTGTTCAGTGTGATCAGTAAGTCACAAGTTAGGACTGCCGTATTTGACAAACATTCAAGATTCCTTTTAAACCCCTTGGCCAATTGGAGCAAAACTGGGTTTATTCAAGTTCTTTTTTTCAAAGCTTTTTAACGCTGGTTGCTAAAAATCATTGCTGCTTCAGACCAATATCATTTAGGATATTTTTGATGCGTGTTGTATCTATGTCTTGCCATATCTGTGATTTTTTACAACACGTACCAATCTCAGATGTGTAGATCTAGAGATGTTCCAGGTTCATGAATCATCAAGATCAATATCAGCTGATCAGAACTGGCACTTTTCATTGCAAAGGCTTCCGAAACACATCGGCCTCAATGAAGGGATACCTTTCCCTGCCCCCCCAGAGGGCAGGACCCACCTGCGCCTCACTCTGTAGCTTCCCTACACAGCAGATCAGATGGGGACGTGAGAAAATAGTGCTCCAATTTAGTTATGGGGTAAAGGCTGGCGAGATTGTGCACCTCCACACTGGAGTAGCGTTGTAGTAATGCTGTGGGGTATTTTATGATGAAGTGGTCAAGACCTCAGGCTGTTTCATCCTAAGGATGGCACCTCCTGCAGCACAGTGTTGCATGTCAGCATGCTGGGGCTTTGTCTAATAGTCTGAATTCTGGTCTAAAGGGAAGAGCACCCCCTACTGGTCTGCCATAGGGACTACTGGTCTTCGTTTTCCATTTTGGTAGTGATGGGGCCTAGCCTTGCTTAGTTTCTGGGATCTGACAAGGTCAGGTTAGTACAATGATAATGCTGCTATTGGGAACAAAAAAGAAAACATCTCAAAACTTTACTTGTATGTGACCTTTGACCTAAACAATTGCAAAACTCTCACCCCTTACAGACAGCAGATAGGGTCATGGTTATTATGGGACTCATATTGGACCCCATACATCCTGAAAATGTATCATCAAAAAGGTGTCCTTGCCCATGACTTCTACATCTCCTCAAGGTGAAAATGTGTCCTCCAGCCATTGCTCCTTTCAGCTCGATTTCTTCTGAACTGCAATATATTCACATGATTCCACTTTTCCATTGAACGTCTGTGGGTGAAGACAAAGAAGCTTTCTCATGTATTAGATTTTGAAAGTTATTTTGAATTCGCTGCACAAACAAGCCTCCTAATAAAAGTACGTGTTATTCCATGTGTTTTGTAAGTGAGAAAGGGGGTGTTGTAACAGTGGGGTGAAGCTTTCAGCTTGATTAAAGTATCACATTTCACAGAACAACATGCTTTTTTGTTTCAAGTCTTTCGCAGTTGCGAGGCTTGTGAAGTTTATCCCCTTCCTAAAATAATTGCTAAAACTCTTCACCTAACTTATCGCACCTATTTTAGAAGATGAAAAGAACCTACAAATTCCTCCTCCCACACATCTTTTATAAGAATGCTATACATTTTTTGTGATAAAACAGTGAAGTAAAAACAACTGAATTTATATCTGAAATACTCAGAAATCTCTGCCTCTTATTAACCTTAACCTTAATGAATTTAGGTTATCCTTCTGCATTTAGCTGTTATAGTCAGCTTTTGCAGTTGAATGTTGTATGTTTATTTATGCACAGAATGTTTCTTGTGCAATCCACTTACACACAATCCAAAATATAAAATGAGTTAAAGCCAACATTATACGAGTCACTCTGCAAGATCTGAGATGCTTGTAATGTTCTCTGCTGAATGTATCACTTTATCCTGGGCCTCACAATCGAACAATAAGTTCGACGTTGGTGCTCTCACATTGTCGTGTTGAGTGAAAGGTTTATAGCAGGGTTCCCAGTCCTGTGCACAGACACACGCACACACATCAGCTCATGTTTTTCCATTGGAGTCCTAAATTAAATAATTGAAACTATTATCAGGTCTGTTAAAGGCTGAATTTGAATTCTGCATCTGGTTATAGTTCTTAAACCTGAATGAAGTTGCCTTGTAGCTGTTGTGTTTCTTCAAGTCTCCAAACTTTGCTAAAATAAAAGGAACTTGCGAAGACCCTGGCTGCACAATTTGTTTGTGCAGTTAAGGATTCATGTCAGTCAAGAACTGAGCTGCAACGCAGCAGACCTGCTGGGTGGGTCCCTAGGTTTACAGGACAGGCCACACTCAAGCTGCTTCACTAGATCGGAAAGGAAGGCAACTTTTCTTTTTCTGGCCTCCTGCTTTCCTTTGCACGATTTCTGCCAAGAGGCTGTTTAGCCAAGCCGGTGGCTCTGTTTCGTGCCTGTTATCACATGGGCACAGCTTTTGCTGTTTAAAACATAACCTGCTGGTCACACGCATGGGAGTCCTTGAGACGGGAAAGCAGGCTTTCCTGGCTCTCTGGGATCTCTGTGTAGTTGTTGTTCTTGGAATAGAGGAGGCCAGAAAATGCCTACATGATTCCAGCACTGTAGGCCTTTACATCCCTTAATGGTTTCCATGCCATTTTATCAACTTTTCAAATCTTCGGCGGTGCTGTTTTTTTTTTTAATTTATTAAATATGTTGGCATCTAATGCCTCTTTGGGAAGAAAAAAAAAATCAACAGTGCAGTCTTATGAGCAAACTGTAACTCTTCCGCCTGAACGGGCTCAGATTTCTTTCTGGGACTTGAAAACTGTCACTTTCGTGTTACAGTAATAACCGGCTGAGTTTTACCATGAGCGCTGGAGAAAACCTTTTACATTTTCTTTAAATGGTATTTTTTTAACGTGGATCATTGTTTCTAATTTTTTTTTCCTAGAACCGTAAGTTAAAACCACCTTCCCAGCGAGTACTGCTGCTGTCCCGAGAGCCCTCCCTTCACGTCCGGCACCCTTGTCCTGACAGCGATAATGTGGCAGAAACCGAGCAAGGTGGCAAGACATCATCACAGTCCTCCCCCACCCCCACTGTCTTTTAATCCGACAAGGTGTTGTCGTCATGCTCAGGTGCTGTGATCAAAATCCCCAGCGCGCAGGGCAGGAATTTCAAAGGCGGAGGACGCTTTGCCCAAAGGCGAAGGAGGGGTGAGAGCTGGTGTTTGATTGGCCTCTTTCATTTCCCTGGCGAAGTGCTGTGACTTTGCCTGAGGCTGCCGTGTCTACCTTGACAAGATGCCAGCTCATGCGGTGCCCACACAAGGCGTGGCAGTGCCATGCTCTGGGACAGGGGAGAGCGATGTAGGTGGTGTGGTTTCCACTGTTGTGGTGACACAGCGTTCTGGGTATGTGGGTGACCATGTTTCTACCTGAAATATGAGCCACCGTGGCACAGCAGGTAGCAATTGGGAAACCGCTGTTTTGTGTACCCTAGCCCCACAATAACACACTCTCCTTGATGTGTCTTTTCACACTCTCGATCTCAAACAACCTGCAGCGGATCCTCAGCGCTTGTTTTCAGCGCCACGCCGTAGCGACACGTGGAAGAGTGGGCGCAGCGGGGTGCGGTTTATGAACCAGGGTGCTCCCAGACTGCTTGAACCTATGAAGATCAATCTGGAATGGCAGCAGAGTTTCTGGTAGGCCAGCTGAGCCCTTTGTTCATGTGATATGTCATGCAGTGAGCTTAAGGAGAAAGCAGAGCATGATTGGTTATCTCCTTGTTTATCTTGGCACATCATCTGAGCAAGTGCGAGACCGGCCGTAGTTTGGCTTTGATAACCTTGGCAGGCAAGAAAGACTGGGACTGGCTTTCTGTTAGCACTGCCTAACACATGAATGCTGCCAACACTCTGGATTTCTTGTTGCCAGTGTAAAAACAAACTGGGCACACTGGTTGCAAGTGGAAATGGGAGGCTCATCATGGGCTGT